GGTAGTGATATACTGAGAGCAGAAATCACGCGAATACTACGGTTTTGACTAACGAAAGCATTCCAGCTGCGCCAAAAAGAAAATTGAACTGCCTGTTTGTTGGTGACATGTACAACTATGAAGCTAAAGTCGACTCTTACGAGATGGTAGGTTTTGCGTACAAGTATAAGTAGCTATAGTGAAGGACAAAACTTTAAGGAAGCTGAGCTGATATCTCAAATTGCTTACGACGTGTTTAATGCACGATCCGGCTCACAATTAGGCCTTTGGGCTTTCGGTTACACTAAGTTTGAACGTAATGTAACTAACACACTGAAAAGAATGGCTAATAATAGCAAAGCATTCAACGATCTTTTGATGGAAATGGAGTATGCTACCGGGGGTACTTACAAGACCACAAGAGTGTAAGTCAGCCTAATCGTATGGCATATGTTTTGATGAAACCTTATAGGGCTATAAACGACATCAATGCGATGAGTGAACAGCAGCTGAACTGTCTAGTGTTCTTTATCGCGCAGTAAGTTCTTTTTTCTGGGCATATCATTGATTGAATGCCAATTAGTTGAGATTTTTTATCTTCAGAAACAGCACAGTGGGTCTTCCAAAACTGGCACCTAAAAACAAAGAAATCACCTCACCTGTAGTTGTTGGTCTTAGCGGTATGTCTTTCCAGATTCCTTTTTCTCTTAGGTCTATCAGACAAAAACAATTCCATAGTACGAAGAGAAGCCAATCACTGAGACTTGGTATTTGCAGGTACGAAGCCTGAAAACATTGTGCCGTATGGAGGCAAAATGATATCTATTCCTCATCATTATTTGGATGAAGATGTAGATAAGATAGTCCAAGCTATATTAGAGTAAGTTGCCTTTGGACTGCAAAGACTATTAGACTAGAAAATTGCTTTTAGCGATAAACCGTGGACGACCAAAGGACCCAGTACAACAACAAGAAGTACCTTTTCACGATATTTCAATTCGATTCTAACCATTCCCATCTGATACGAGTTCACCAAAATACAATATTTCAGCGCCAAGAAGAAAATTGA